CTACTAGTTTATAATGACACAACTTAGGTTTCCATATTTGAAGGTCTCTCTAAGTCTGATTCAAAGAAATAGCAGCAATATTTAACACTTAACATGCACTTGCCACGTATCAGGAACTTTGCTAAGCATTTTACATGATGAGATCATGCATTTTGCAGTTATAATACCTGAGTTTACATGTTCACTAGAGAACCTTGATAAATGGTAGGTATTACTATTACTAGTTTATTTACTGGCTAATAGAGAGGTGTTCATCAGGTGAAGTGCACAAATAAGCTGGCTGCTTTGTGCACACAAACTGCATTAAAAAAAAATCCCAAATACATAACTTGCTTTTATTAAATGGGGAGGGTGGGGGGTGGGGGAGGAATCAACACATTTTCCAGAGGCAGATTTCTCAGTAGGTTTAGTGAAAACCAACTTAACATCAGCATGTTTGACAAAGCTTTTAGAATAAGTGAGCAATCAAATTCTTAAAATAGGAATAGAACATCAACAAGCTCCAGACCCCAGAAGAGTTATAAGCCAACAAATTAGGCATTGTTTTGCTTAACATTTTTAGCTTTAATGTAAATATATATTATTATTTAGACTATTGGCATCTGTACTACATAATGACTTTATCATTTTACTTTAATTAAAACCAGGATTTCTGGAATTTCCAAGTAGTCTTTAAAGCTTTCCAATATGGACATAAACTAACCCCTATTCCTCTCTACATATCAAATGTGAAATAACTGTCACAATATATCAACATTTTCACAGGGAGATTTTTAAGGCTCTGGCACATAAAATGTATAATATCTATGCAGCAGTAATGCCACAATATGTACAGAAAATATTTAGAATTCTGTGCAATTTAAATTCTAAAGATTAAAAAAACAAGTGTTCCACGATAATAAAATATTAAAATACCATGTGCTTGCCATAAATTTGACACTGATTTTGTAATTACACAAAGAACGCACAAGATAAGACTTGTACACTAAATGATTCATCATTGAAATTAACAGTTGAACCGAATATACTTATTTGACATCATTAGTTTTCTAAACCATACTTTCAGCACAAAACTGGCTTTACTATAACATAAATATTTGCAATTAAACTGTGACATTGAGGCAGCCAATGTCAGATCTAGGCTTGCCTCATTATTCATATATTGTACAAATATTAGTCTATGACTCTTAATTTATCCTTTTGTCGAAGTCACCATTGCAGAGAATGTGTTAATAAGTGGAATCAACAAAATGTGATGATTTCTCATTTGAAAAAAATGAAAATCATTAACACCTTGGCTTAAAGTTCTAAAGCAGCATATTTAGCTCTTAAGGCAAGAAAGGTCAAAAATGTTATAAATTATAAATTCCGGTAATTCTTCTTTTGGCATTATAAGCCACAGCACAAATTCTTAGACTTTAATAGATAATATATTAGGGTACATCTGAATATACATTTGCCAACATTTTCCAGTAACATGAAGTTGTTCTGTGAAGTGGACGAGGTGAAGTGGAGTATGGTAGGGCGATATTTAATGGCTGTCCTGGGCATCAAGGGACATGGAATGGCTGAGTCTTGACCTTCCATTCACAGCTATTGTATTTGATGGAACAGTAACCTAAGAGAAAGAAACACACTTTGCACCCATCAATTTAAACTGGGACAGCTATCTAATTTTCAATTTTCAACAATTACCACATTTTAACTTCTGCTTAATTGTAAATGCTAACATTTAGTATTTATTATGTAATAAATTACAAATAATCAAGAAAAAATGTTCACTGTACCATGAAATGAAAATGAGAAAGTTGTTATTTCCACAACAAATAAGTTAAATAATCTATTAACACATCTTAGTCTTTACAAAATTGCCAAATCAACTCAAAGGACAAGAGCACAAACAGACTGCAGGCCAAGCTGTTAAAGAGCATTTTTAACTAGATTAATTCTGGCTTCTTGAAAGTGCCTTGGAGAATGTAGAAAAATAAAGTGAATTCCACAAAGCAGTGAATTTAATGATTTTTGTAGTGATGGTGTATATTAACTTGAAGTTCCCCTCATAGGCATCTCTTATTTATAAGGAAAAAATAAACAAAAAACAGCTTTGGTTTTTAAAATACTACCATATGAAGGGCTGAATATGTCAAACCTATGACTGTTATGCCAAAAAGGAGGTTAAATTTTGTTTTTTATTATTATTTTCTAGTAATTAAACCCCTAAGTTCCAAAATTTTATGGCAAAGTCTCCTATATATAAAGTGTAAGTGACTAAGAAACACTATAACAAGAATTTCCTAAATAGCTTGAAATCCCCACATTACTTAGAAAAATGTAAAAAGAAAAATCATCTGGGTTTAGTGAATAGGTATAATATGTTGAAATACATAAAATATGACAATATTTTAAGAAAAAGTTTCTCTCTAGATTATAATTTGTCTAGTTTAGATTCATAACCAAACATTATCATCTCGCTAGAACTGAAGTACAGATTCTGCCTAGCAACAGAGTAAGTTAGTGAAAAGGAAAACAAAGTTGGCAAATTTAGTTTGGATTTGTTTTCCTTGTGCTTCATTTCTTGCCTTTTACTAAGTGAAGATTGGTCATCTAATGTAGTTAATTTTCTTGACTGCCTTATAAATCCAGTAATGGAGTGAAGTGTTTTACAATATCAACCTGAAATAAAACAGCTATGAAGAAAAATTGCCACTAGAGGAAGAAGACCTCATCTGTACCCTGCTTAGTATTCATGTGGGATTTCTTTGCATGTGGGATTTCTGTAGCCAGCAAATAACAGACAGGTAATGATTTTTCGTTATGTAACCTTGGTCCAAAAAGCCTCTGTATATGGAAGTCATTTTTGTAATTTTTGCCAAAACTGCAGTTCTCATATTCTTTGTCAAGAAAGGAAATTTGTTTTAAGCATTTAATAAACATACTGATGACTCCAAATGTCTGCAAGTAAAAGATGTCCATTGTTGCCCCATTTATAGTGAAAAACTAGAATCCAGTTAAATGTCCACCAATAAGGAGCAAATAAGCTAATGTGCGTTCATATCATAAATACTATGTAGTCTTAAAAGAATGTATGTAATAAGATGGAGAGCTTCAGAGAACTATATGTTAAGAATGTTTTATGAAGGATTCTATTTTTATTAAAAAGTAAATATATTTACATACTACAGAAGTGGCCTGGAAGATTACACTAAAATCTATTGAGAGCAGTTACTTTGGAGAGAAAAGCAGTATTTTGTTTGATATTTAAAAATTTGTTTACTAAACTGTCAAACATGAGAAGATACCATTAGACTACTATTCTATAAATTCTGTGAAGTCAGAGATCATGTTGATTTTAATGCCACTTTATACTCACTTTATACTCATGTTTGTTTTATTGCCTGGCCCAGCATAGAACAATGAATATTTCTTGAATGGAATACGGTAACTTTTTACAAACATTTATAAAATAAAAAAGTATTGCTTAATTTTTGAGCAATGAACATAAGACACTTATAATAAAGACATGTTTAAAAAGTAACATTTAAGAATTTACTGATGTGAGCATGTTGATTGCTCTATCATTGAAGCTTAAAAATTTTTCAGGAATATCTCCATTGCTTTCTTATTCTCGTAAGAAGCGTTAACTATGGAACTATCATTTATTTTTAGTTAAAAATATATGGAAAGAAATGCCAATCTAAAATCTCTGAAATATTCAAATTCATACTAAGGAAATATGAATAAAAAGCAGACCAATTAAACAAACAAAACAAGCCAGAACAGTTCTGGGGGACTTATCCAGTTTTTTTCTTCACTTCAGATTTCTATCTAGCCAAAGATGTGTTTTACATTCTGAGGAAACACTTAATATTAAGTACTAAATATTATTTGTCAGTTTATTTTCAGACTTGATTTTTACAAAACTATATTCTACTTGTAATAGTGCAATAACCTTTAGTAATTCAAGCACCATCAGGAACTGAAAGCAGACAAAGAAGTTCTTGTGTCAACACAAGTCGACACAAGTCAACAATACTGAATTACTTAATCTGCCTTATTCTCTGAAAACGATTTACTGATTCATGTAAAAATCTTAACATCAAACACATTTTATAAAATGCTGAACTAAATTTATTAATGCTTCACATGAAGACAAATTTCTGTGACTGCATGGGGGTCAAGTGGGAGTAAGGTATAGAAAAGACCTTAAGAGATATGAAAATATATAGCATATTCATGACTACACTTACACTAGAGCAATCAATTAGATAATTGTTCTAATGTGAACCAACTATTATAATGAAGGTTAATTGCTTGGGTATGAAACAGAGCCATAAGGCAGGTTGGTACCTGGAGTTAAATTCAACATTTGGGTGCCAAAATATGGGCAAATACTGAGCCAACTTTCTGATGAACAATCTAAACCTACTGTCAAAATCACTGGAGATTTTATTTGGCACTATAACTGTTGTTCTATTAAAAAAAATGTTAGAATTTAAAACAAACCAGGAGAAATGTTCAGTACAAGACAGAAATGTAGGACTTAAGCAAAAATCACAAGAAAATAGAGCCTTCTTGTGTCCATTTTTACCAGCTTTTGCAATTTTTTGAAATATAATATTTTTACAGAAAAGTGCACTGAACTTAAATAAATAGCCCAATGAAAACAGACACAAACATGTGTATAACCACCCAGGTGAAGACAGAGATCACCTCCACCTCCCTACTGACCTTATCCCTACCTAACACTTTGACATTTTATTCATCATGGATTTTGCATTAATCTGGACGTTTAAAAAATAAAGCATTAAGATATTTATACTGATTACTTAGTGTTTTGAGTGCCTGTCCTGTTCTAATAAGCTCCCTAAAACCCCTTTTCTTCTTCTCTGGAAGTAACCACTATCAGGATTTTTATAATCATATCCTTGCTTTTAAAAATAATTGCCACCTACATATGTATCACTAAAGAATAGAATTTGGTTTTGCATGCTGTCAAACTTTACACATGTATATTTTTATATGTCTCTATCTACACTGTTGCATTTAGCAGTATTTTGTCCAATTTATTGCTATGTAATAGTCCATTCTTTAAATATACTATTATTCTACTATGTTTTGATATTAAGGTCATATTTCTTTGGAGTTTTTACAAACAATATTCCATGAATATTCTCATATGTGAGTCCTGGTACACAAACACACACATTTTTAGCATCTATAACTAGAAGTGATCATGGAGTGAAAGCTGATCATGAAGTGTAGATATTGTGAACTTTTCTAGACCCTGTGTCCATTTTTTGTAGAATAAAATGGATTATGTAAGGAATTTTTATTAAATAAAACTTAGGAGTTGGCACTACATAGACTCAAAACTATTAAAAATCTCCTACAGAAAGAGATAACATTTAGACTCAATGGAACCTAACGTAATGAGTTATAAACAGGATACAATTATAGGATCATCATTTAGGGCCCGCTTTCTGTGTTGATTCACATCCAGCTCATTCTGGAAGCAATGAGAGTTTTATATGTGAAGAGACTGCCAAATCAGGGCCCATAACACACCAAGCATACAGCTGCTTGCCTGTACAATTCTGTTGGCTTAGAAGGCATTTTCAACTTAAGGCACTGTTTTCTACAGTTAGTTCATTGAAATTGATTAATATATCCCCTGGCGTAATACAAAGACACTGCAATTATTTTCCAATGAGTTACTTGGTTCTTCAGTGGGCCTGATATATCACTATTTCTCAGTCCCAGGCAGTGAATACCCAGAGGCAGAGGCTTCATTTTACCCATTTCTGTCTCCCTTTGGTACTTACATGCTTAAAAACGCTTGTCAAATTTATTAAATGAAGAAAATTTTAGACTGAAAATGACTTATTTGAAACTTGTCTTTAATTTACAAGATTACAAATGCATAAATGAGACTGTATGATTAAATATGGGCATATTTCCCCAGAAAAATACAAATGTTATCATCCGTAAAGTACCAATTTTAATATTCAAAGCTATACTGAACTTTTTGCTGCCTGGCACCTAAATTCATACTACAAATAATCTACAAAGTCCAACCCTAATCCCCTGAATTATTCATGTTTCTTCGCTCCTGACAGCATGCAACATTTTGCTTTGTCTCCATTTGTGTCCAGTTGGGAGCGCCGAGCCTTCCATGAGAATGGCTGTCACTCACAGCTCCACTGAAACACATGGAGGAAACTGACCAGCACAGGCAAGACTGGCCTTAGAGATGTACCTAGGATACCTTCTCCTTTCTTTCACAGATTTCATTTCTGCGGAGCTCAGTGTTTTGCTCAACAAATCTCTTACTCTTCTCTAAATAGCTTCTAAAACGATTAGAGAAGGAATTCACAAAATGAAATGCCCAGGGAGTCAGTGGAATAGTGAATGCTTTTCTTGTTTTGGGTATTGAGGAACTTGCAATCAAGATGACTAAAAGGAGCACAAAAAAGATATTTAAGGAGACTACAACCTCTGGTAAGTCCAATTGATAATGCCAGGCTTCAGGCTTCACCACGTGCTCCTTCAGTGGATGAAGGCTGCAGAAGAGGACATTGACCAATAATTCTCTATGACACCTATTTGGTTGGTGTCTGCTTTGAGAATCACACCTCCTCTACTGAAGCTCTCCTACACCTCGGTAAGGAAGAGCTAAACCACTCTGGCAGGGCATTATTAAGACTTGAACTTCTGCATTAGGTCTTATCTATATTCTTCAGATTTCCCCTACATTTTTTGGTTAACCGATAAAACTCTCTCTCCTCCAACCCAATACCATGTATGGTAGTAATTTGAGCACCTTAGGAGCCATGACTGAAAACTTGCAGTTTCCTATTCCAGTTCTAGAATAGGGAGTGATTTTCTTTCCAAAAGGATTTTTCTTGCTAGGCTAACATGATTTCATAAAATTAGAGTCCAGGTACTTTCTATATAGTTACACAATAATGAGCAAAAGCCATGTTCTGAACCTGGCCCATGTTGTAAAAAATAGACCTGACATATTTTGAAGTATGGGTAAGACTCTGGATTCTCTCAGCTTATACTTCAAAAATGACCCATGACGTAAAAAAGTAACTTCTGGCATCTTCCCTATTCAGGTTTAAATGCCAGAAAACAATTTCCCCTAAGTATTAGCTTGACAATGCTGAAAATAAATCCACTGTCACCCATCTGATAAAGAAAACTTACCCTTTTCAATTTGGCAGCAGCCTCTCCAGAACGGATTGCAGTCAGCAAACTCTGTCGGATCTCTTCTGGGTCAGAGCTTTGGAATGTTAAAGAACTTTGTCTCTTAAGGGCAAACGGTGGGCAGTCAGTTGATATTTGGGAATTCTGTTCATTATGTGCAGAGTTATTTTCCTAAAATGAATGAATGAATGAATGAATGAATGGATAAATAAATAATAAATAAATGCAAGCATTCGTTTATATGAATACCAAGTGAAGAATGGGCCATTTTCCAACAAATTTTCTTTACCAGTAGTTCTTTGAGAGTCACCATTTGCCTCACTGGTGTTCTAGACATAGCTGTATTTCCTCACCCGTTGAATTATTTCTGCTGCCAGAGCTCAGCTGAGAAATGAGAGCATTAATTTCCCTTCTCTTGAAAAGGGGGCTAAGAAAAGTGATGCCTCTCTTTGTTTCATGAATGCAGGGGTAATTTTACTATCTTTGAGTCAAAGAATGCATATTTTTCCAATGGAATTAGATAAAAGAGCCAAATAAATAATAAATATATTGCACAGACTAAAAAATAACCTGCTTTCACAGCTCTGACATATTAGGTTCTGAAATCATTATTTCTAATGGTACGAAATGGATAAGTATTGGCAATTTCATATTAGCTGAACCTAACATATCTTCTAATAATGGTATATTAATGACTATGCTATAGGTAACAGCTTATTTTGTGTTTTTGGAAGTCACAGGGACTAAGTGATGGCCATGTTTTCATTTTTTCCATAAAATTAAAAATAAATATTAGGACTTTCCAAATTTAAGAATCAAAAATTTAGGAAGGAAAATTTGGTAACTAATTTAACTGGCAACTGTTATCAAATAATCTTAAAAAATGTCTTTTTTCAAAATGCCAAAAAATATCTTTACAAATGATGAGCTTAACAGAACTCAGGCAGTGACTCAAAAACTTGTATTATCTAAAGCAAGCTTCTGTTGTTTAGGAATGACATTCCATTCTAAGAAAAAACACAGGCTTTGTTCCTAAGAATTAATCTCTATGTCATACATCTCTTCCTGACATTGTTTCAAAGTAATAAACATAAATGTGAAATATATGCAGAAATATTCTTCAAGATACATATTGCTTTAAAATTGTGGAAAATCTTTACTTGGCAATATGGTTATTATGGTTATTGTTCTGTTACTCTAGGAATATTTGAAAAGGTAGTATAAAATACTTCTGGAACTGTCACACAAATATGCAAGTATTCTTTAAACACTTTTTTTTTAATTGCAGTGGGATTATCATAATACTGTGAATTTCATCCTCTCCTTTGACTATTTGAATCTAGCAAATTATAACAGTTGAGCAACCACTAAATCAGCAAATTCTCCTGTTTTTTGCAAATTATTCAGGTTAGCTAGTAGTTAAATGATATTTGGTCAACATATATATAACTGGAAAAGTTGACACTAAATTAACAAAAGGGTAAATTTAGAAAATTACATATTTAAACTCTGGTTTCAATGTAAATTATTTGTATGTAAAAGATGTTTGATAAGATGAGGTTGAATGTATCACAGAAAATGTATTGCTGAGAAACATTTGGTTATTTTATTTAGTCTTTGATACTGCTTATGTTTGTATATAATTAAAACCATTTATTTTGCAATCATGTAGAATTGGAGAGAAAAAAAAAACACGGAACATCCAGAAAAGTTATAAACAAATTGAGATAAGTAAAGTACAGGAAAATATAGTCAGAATTATAAACTAGTATACTATACTAATGTATGAGCAAAGAAACTTTAAATTAAAATATTTGCTAATGATACAATTATATAATGATGCCCTTATAGTAATACTCAATCATGTTATATGAATTACAACAATTCTGAGAGTAAATATCAGATTTTATGTATTATACTTTTTTCTACAATAGGTAGCTTGATATTAGATTACTATGAATTCAGAGTTAATACGCAAACATATCAACATGCTTGTTAACCCCCATTTAAATCATAAGAACCTCTTATTTTTAAAAAGATAACATTTACCTTATCACTCGCACCTAGTTGTGGGATGTCCATAAATTTATTTACAGAAGGAATCTTCTCTTCCTCTGTGTCAGTCGGAGGCTGGGCGCACGCACTGGCTCTGCGTGACTCTGTACGCACTTTGCTGAAAGACTGTGACCGTTTCACCACAGCAAGGGCAAACGGCGAAGGAGCAGAGCTCGAGTAAGGTCGTGGGGCACCGAAAGTTTTTAGAGTCTTCAGATGTAGTGCCGCTAACTGACTTGCGGGAAGAGGAACAGGTTTCGGAGCCACGGGGGGAGGAGAGGTTTCAGTGGGCTTCTGACTGCCGATGCCATCATCTGTGTTTTTAATGTGGGGCTGCGGAGGGGAGTGAGTTGTTTTACTTAAGGGAGAAAGAGTTTGCTCTGGAGGAGGTATTGGATCCGTTTCCACCTCTTTCTTTATTAGTTCTTTTGGTATAGGGTTAGGGGCAGTGTGGACACTTTTGGCAGCTGCAGATGTCACATAGTGACCTGAAACTCTTTTTTGCATCTGCAAGAAAAAGGAACTTGGTTTGGTCTGGGGATTCGAAATCCGAGATTTAAGTTTTGACTCCAAAATATTGTTTATATCTTCCAAATTCGGCACAAAAGGAGCTATGCCAGTGTCTCTCATCATCCTAGGAGTAGGTTTTAGAGAATTTGCTGTTGTGCTGTGTGGTACGCTCTCAACACTCTGCACCTGATGCCCTGTTCTCAGGGTAGGCTTGGGTTTCAGGTCTATCTCTGGCTCCTTTGGGCTTTCAGAAATAACATGATCTGTTTGGATTGCTGTTTCTTTTACAGTCTCCTGAATGTGCTTTTTTCCTAAGGTATGTATCTCCTGATCATCTTGATAACATTTAGTTTCTGATTCCCAATCTTTCAATATTTCCAGGAACTTGGGAGGCACTATTTTATAAGTAGTCATCCCAATTTTGGGTATATATTCTCTTGTAATTTCATTCGAAGGTTTTGGTTTGGGATTGTAGTCTTGCCTGTAAAGTGGATAATTCTTTATATAAGAAGCAGTTGAATTGTTATTAATTCCGTCTGTAGGAGGCAAAAGGTCATCATTACCATGTGCACAAATTGGACCTTTTATGGTGAGCTGATCTTCTGAATGTACAGTTAGGGAGCCCTGTCTCCTAAATTCTCTTGAGGTATCTAGAGAATCTGGTGGACGTAAAGATGAATGTTGAGTTGATTTGTCATTATTTGCAGTTTGCACACTTTCATCAGCTTTGAAGTCAGACAACTGATGATGTGGGTGATTCCCATCAAAACTGTTACAGGAAGAAGTTGTCTGAATTGCTGCATCTTGCATTTTTGTCTTTTCTACACTGGGTTGATTCAGTTTTTGGTCTGGTACTAATGAAGCAGCTAGATGATTTTCCTTGTAACTTGCAGTAGTTTCAGTTTTATGTGCCTGATAGCTTGATAGTTTGTCAATTTCCATGTCTACATTGTTATTTTTGGCAACACCTCCTACATTGATTTCTGTTCTCCTTACTCCATTTTTCATATTATCTTCTGTGTTCATTGCAATGGCAATTATTTCATTTTGATCTACTGAGAGAAAAAAAAAATCATCGTTAAGTATATGAAAAAAAAGTAGAAAAACCTTAGTTTGCAGTGCTTTTCTCCCCCAAAGTGCAATAGGTTGGTTGAATTTTATAGGAACTTTTTCACCTCACTAATTACCCAAAAGAAGGTAATGGCATTTAGAGAAAACAGTGTGGGCTTCAATATCATGGAAACCTGAGTGTGAAACCCAGCTTGACTTATTACAATCTCTGTGGCCAGAACTTGTTACTTAACCCTTTGGGCTTCTGTTTGCTCAGATGTAAAAAGGTGAAAAATATTTATTACAGTTGACCCTTGAAAGATGAGGGGAGTAGGGATGCTGACCCCTCTGCACAACTGTAAATCCGTATATAACTTTTGACTTCCCAAAAAATTCCTAATAGCCTACTGTTGACCGGAAGCCTTACCAAATACCATAAACAGTCGATTCACACATATTTTGTGTGTTATATGTAGTATATACTGTATTCTTACAATAAAGTATGCTAGAGAAAAGAAAATGTTATTAAGAAAATTATAAAGAAGAAAAATGCTTTTATAATATTTATTGAAAAAAAATCTGTATATAAGTGGACCTGTGGAGTTTAAACCCATGTTGTTCAAGAGTCAACTATATATTTTATATATCATTTACATAACAGGCTTATTAGGATAGAATACTGCCCAGAACAAATACTTTATAGAATAGCTATATTTCTTCTTATAAGTAAAGATTTCATACTTCAGTCATTGTTAAGAATGACAAAAGAAATTGACAAATTCAAAAAATATATTTTTTATTCTTCAATTTTTTTCCATTTTGATTTTCCTGTCTCTTCTGTAGCTTCTAGTGTATTTATATTTTATACATAACATTAAAAGGGAAACAATCTCAGCAGAGTTATCAGTTTTAATTAAAGCGAACGACAGAAACATCACCTTTAAGAATTGAAGTAAAAACAGAATCTAAATAGTCTTGTTAATTATCCTCACTAAAGACTTCTAGAGGACTTTGTTTTTAGTCATAATATGGGTGATTTCAACTACGAAGAAACAGTGTAGAAATAATCGTGTGGTTTTTAATTTCTCTCTTTGGAAAAAGATACTCTATTCTCACGTCAGAGTTCAAGTAGAGGAAAAACCCTCCCTCTTCCCTGTGCTACTTTTCCTCTTAATTCTAATTCAGACCTCCTAATAATGAAAATCATTTACAAGTATCTAGGTTAACAAAACAACAGTTGTCAGCCAATAACATAATGGCAAAGAACTGGAATGAGGCATCAGGAAGGAAACACAGGTGTATGAGTGTGCACCATGTATCTAGTACTGAGCAAAGTGATTTATTTTTGTGTTCCTTTTGTCAAACGCTCAGAAGAATCATTTTTCCTGGGTGCTCAACAAGCCCTAATTTTCAAAATCCTTAGTGGTTTCCTCTTTCAAATAAGGTAGTTTGTACAGTACAAGTAAAATGTGGGCCTTGGGAGTTAAATTGTGAAAGGATGTCAAGTATTTCTCTATAGTTTTATCATCACTCACTTTCACCTATAAGACAGAGAGCAATTTTACTGCCTAAAATGTCATGAGATATTTTAAATCGTTCCTCTGTTTAAAAAAAAGAAAAATATACACAATATTTTTACCAAAATATACCAAAAAAGTTATGTTGTCTGGTAAATTTGTATACAAAAAGTTTTTAAACATGTCTTCATATGTTTAAAGCCTGCCTAATTGTACAATTATTTGGTCACCATATGTTGCAAGGTTCCTATATTAAATATGTAATTTTAAAATAGAATTCACTTTTATTCTTCCCAAATAAAATGCAACTGATTATCAGAATATTTATTGTCTATCTGAGTCACTTTTCTCATTGACAAATAATTATTAACTTTTGTGAGGTATAAAATTAAGGACACATGATTAGGAACCATGGAAGAGGCACATTCCTGCCTATGTTCTTATTTATTTGGTTGATAAGTATTTTTAATATCTATATAAAAAGTACTACTTTCAGCACTGCTTTGAGCACAAAGAATATTAAAAAAAAATAAAATAAAGTCTCTGGCACTAGGAAATGAGCCTAAATGTATTTCTTTCTTATTTCTCATTTTCTACTAAATATAGGTATATCCCAGTTACACAAATAGAAACATTTTCCAAAAGAAAGCACATAAATGTAAAATTATATTTTAAGTGAAATCTCTTATAACAAACTTTAATTTATTGGCTTAGATCTCCAAATTTCTGTTTTTCACTTTTTTTTTTTTGGTGGATTATACCTACTTTACTATTCTCTAACTCTGAATTTCTCATCAAAATTTCATAATTACCAATGATTCTCAGGCCTGGACACCTATAATCACTACTGAATTTGTTAGCTAATCCATCCTCAAACATACCTGATAATGATGCTAACCAAGTGCCAATGAATGGTTAGGTCATTTTTCAAGAATAGCCAGGAGAGGGAGAAGGTATATTTTGTACCATCCTGTCCTTCCCCTACTCAAAACTGACACCAACGTCTACAACCTAACAAAAGGATGATTTAGATAGGTATGCAGAGTAGATAAAAAGAAGGAAAAGAGAATAAAACTACTCTAAGGATAACGGAAATTATTTATTTTAAAAGCACCTAGAGTTGACAAAGGCCATTACAAATCAAGTGCAAATGCAAATAAATATTATTGCAGTAAATGTATTTGTGACCCTAGCACTAACTTGATGCCAAAATTTTAGCAAAAACGATTTTCTAAATATTTTGCTAATTATTTTAGCAAAAATAATTTGACTATGATTTTTAAAAGGAAGTTTTAAAATCATGATTTCACAATGCTATTGCCATCATAGTATACATTGTAAAAAAAAAAAAAAAAAAAAAACTGAGTCAAGAGGAAAAGAATGAAGGAAATTAATACTTTTAGGCATTCTTAGTATTGTATCTGAGGATAGTATAGACCATGGGGACAATGAATTAGAGACATACATATTCAAATTGACCAACACATAGCACATATATAAAATGACATACTTTTGTATCTATCAATTTGTGACACTGGAATAACCCATATTTTATCTAAAAAAAAAAATTATATTTATATCCTTATGTTTTCTAAGACTCTTAACCTAGTTCTATATGTTAACATAATAGATTGGACTATGAGAATTCATAAGCCTCTTCCTTCATATCCCCTTAAAATTATGCTTTCCTTGATCTTTTTGTATAGTGTCATTTTTTAAAAAAATTTAACCTGAACTATATATTTTAACAGTATCTCAGTATTCTGCTAGGTGCTATGAGGAATTCAAATGAAGTATCAAACATATTTTCTCTGATCCAAGACTGTACAATCTTGTTGAGGAAACAAGACCAGAGAACTACATGGCTTCTAGTAATTAAGTAACAAAATAAGTGAAGTAGCAGGATTTGGATAGTAGCTGAATGCGTGAAGATAGGTAGAAAATTATTTTCCATGCAAAGACAAAAATGAGCATGGGATTAATGATAGAATTGAGTGAAATATATCATGAGAAAGAGGAAAAAAAGACTTGGTGGAAATACTGGTAAATAGTGTTACACAATTAGATGGTTTAGGCCTTGAAAATCAGACAAGTTTTACCCAAGGTATAGCAACTTGAGTATGAAGTAAAACAGCCTTCGACTAGAGAGTCAGTAGAAGGAAAGAAGAGAAACAGCTCATTGGTAGATGCATAGAGTACATATCTTTAAGATCTAAGATCTGTTAGACAACCTCTAACATTTAACAACAAAAGTGGTACACATGGTAGTTAAAAGCACACTTTAGAATGATATTGCCTCCGTTCAAATCTGAATTCCACCACTTATTAATTGTGATACCTCAGGTGACTGTATAATATCTTTGTGGCTCAAGCTTCTGTAAAATGGGACTAAAGATAATAATACCCATAAATGAGTTAATATACAAGATTAAATGAGTTACTATATATAAAGGGTTAAAAATGGTCGCTGGCACATAATAAGTACTATCTATGAAAGTGTTGTCTATTAGTGTTTATAGAACTCACCATTCTCTTGGTTTGGGCCCAATGACTTCAAGTTTCTTACATTGTCAACTACTTTCTCTTGATTGCTTGCATTACATACCATCAAGTGTGGTCCTCTGTAAAATATGATATTATATGTTATATATTGACAGTATTCAAACAAACACACACACGATGAGAAAACAGGCAATAATTTCCAAAGACAGATGGACTGAAATAATCATCTTCTGCCAAATACTGAAAATTTAATAGAAAAGAAAAAATACAACTGAGAGGAAATGCTGCTATTAAACATTAGCTTTCATGTGGAGGTCCTATTACAAAGGCAAATGTAAAAAGCTTGGCAAAATGGACACAATCCCCAAAACAGTGTCCTTTTGTTATTATTATTTGTCGTTTTAAGAAAAAGAAAATAAATGAAACCTTTTAGTCTTGCATCTGACAAGGTAAACTTCTGGCAAGGCAGGATGTAGACTGACCTCACTGGGTTTTATTGGTGATAAAAGAGTTTAAATTGGAGACAATTCCATCAAAATTATAGTAAAACTTTGACAAAGATAGTTTATTTTACCTAGTCGATTTCATTATCATTCATGGTTTGGCATTTATAACATATGTATACTGTACTATAGTTTCCAATTCTTAGGAGCAAGTGAAAAGTGCATTATCTGTATCATAAAGTTGACCGTAAAAATAACATTAGTAATTGAACATCATACTCTAATATGAGTAATTGTTTTATATATAAGTGAAAATCCTTGAGGAGCATTTGTTGAAATTGAAAATTAAATGTCTCATTTTGGTCAAATAGGTAATAGGCAAAATACTTACAATATAAAAAAAGAAAAACTTTTATATTTGAGTCATAGGAATTAACTACATGTTATGGCTTATCTGACACAGGGATACCAGAACTGTTGAATTTGGCTTTATTTAAAAATAATTACTTGCAAATAGATACTTTATTAATAAACATTTTTCAAAATGATGGTAAAAGGGATAGAGTCCAAACTAAAGGAGTAATTATATATTTGTGTTTAAAATATCAGATCTATATTTCAGAAGACTAGTATTAATTAAACCAACTGCCATCAACACTTCTGGCACACAGACTACTTACTGTCCATCAGTGTCTCTAGTTTCTTGTTTTTCTTCTCTGGAGTTTTGTGAGGACTCTCCAGGATCATTACGAAGGGCTGAGTCAGGATCATTCTTCAGTGCATTTATTATATCAGTAGATCCAAAAGGAATATCTTGTGACTTCCCAGAAATATTTTCAGCCTCATCTTTAGGCACCTGGCTCAGTTCTTCCTTTTCATCTATCTCTTCAAGACTATAATCAGAGCTTATTCCAGCTACAAAGAAATGAATACATAATCCTAAATATTAATTTGCTTCATTCATGATACACAACCTGACAAAGAAGGAATTTTTAAAATAATTAGCTGGACTCTTAAATTCTGGTTCAAGACAAATAGGGAAATACTTTTCTAATGGCAAATAATCATGTTAACATATAATCAGATTCTCTCAGACATACAATTCTAAAAATAATATAATATCACTCTAGGTTTTATTCATGGTAGAAAAGAAGATATTATATAAACTCAAACTTCAAGTTATATATTTCATTTAATAATATACCTTTCAATTTAAATAACTTTTATATTCATATAATAGCTCTAAATGTAAAGGACAAAAACTATATATTTATATTGTCTATAATTGTAAAATGCCTCAGTAGTTTCAGCACTAACTACAGTTGAGAACCATGTGAATCCCTTTAAAAATATTCATGCTCATTATCTTATTCCACACCTGTTAGAGCAGAATCTTTCAAGGGAGGGACCAAGAATTTTTAAGTCTCCTCAGCTGATTCTAAAAAGCAACCAGGGTTAAAAGCCACCGATGTAGATGTTTAATATAATTTTTTAAAGTATACATAGAATAAGTATTATACGATGTAAATTAATTTTTATTTGCACCCAGTTTGAGTCTCAGAGGCAACTTGCTTTAACATTTTTTTCCTGTTAAAAAAAATGTTAAATTTTTTTCTGTTAATATATATATTAACAGAAAGTATAATGAGAATATATAAGCAGATATGCATACCCATGTTTCCTTCTCTTTTTTGTTGGTTTATTTAATATAAATGGAAGCATACTATCCTGATGTCTTTCACCTAACTTTTCTTGCTCTACTTACTATATCATAAAGATTGTCCCACATCAATATGTTGTGTGCATGTGTGTATGTATGTGTGTGTGTTTCTTTTCAATAGCTGTAGTCATTAAAGTGTGTTTATCATTGCATTAAAGTGTGTTTATCATTATTCTTTAGCATGAACAATAAATGGCCAACAGAGTAAAAGAGACATCCTAAGCAGTGTCCATACTCACTGTAAAGTTAATTTAAACCAAAGAATGCAATTCTGGATCTTTGCTTATTAGAATTCAACATTTCCACTTACACAATAGCAGCTGAACAACGTTTAATTTTTACCACGATTGAGGGGGGAAAAGGGTGGTGTAGTATTGGATTACAGTGATCAGCACATCCATAAAATTTAATAAAAACTTTAACATATTTGAAGAATATTTAAAGTGCTTAAAATGTATTTCTTTAATTTTGTTTTTAGGCATATAGACAGAAAAGTGTGGTATTTGTACTCTTCGATAAAAAGTATGGAGAATTTAAATGACAATTTTTTTGCAAATAAAAAATAGATAATTCAACAGAAAATATATTTTAAAAACTCAAATTTAAGTGAATTTTAAAATATATGTATAGGAAAATCTTTTTAGTATAACATGTAAAATAATAATTATGATGCCAATGTACAATATTGTATTTACAATAGCATATCACTTCTATGTAGTAAGAGTACAATTACATAATTTGAAAACCGTGCATAGAGAAAATGAATGGCCATCTTGGTTTAGATCCAAATATGTTTATAAATGGCTCGTTGGTATATGTTAACCTCTTTTGAATATTAGATTAACTAGGTAACATTCAGCAAATTATTTCTTTCTTTCTCATCACAGGTGTTTAAGAAATATAAAACTTTTCTTTAAGTCTGGTGTTTTCACTTAGAAACTGGTCTCAATTAATTAAAGTACGAAGAATGAGTTACATATTTCAAAAATCTCAGATTATTTGTCTGGGATTTTATAACTTGGTAGTTATAAGATTATTTTTTTTTTCTAGCCTAACAAATATTTCTAATATTAAATGTCTTAAAAAAGGCTGTAATTCTTTTTTAAAATTCTAATCATCCAAGAGAACTTCCGCAGTTGATTGTTTGACTAGTACAAATTTCTCCAAGCTTTGAAAAATATTAAATAATGTGGTTTTTTTTAATGGGTTAACAGATTTATATGATGGCCAAATTTTAGGACTACAGTAAAAAAAATTAGGGTGAGAGCTGTGAACAACGAATAATTTTCGCAACTGTTATATCACAACTATCATATTTTAGGTTCAAAAGTTATAAAGGAAGAATATTTACTTTGAAAGAACAGTGTTTAAATTCTTAGTGAAGACTTAAGATTTAATAGCCTCTAAAGTATAAATGTTAAAAAATTACCAAAATCATTTAAAAGCGTAATTATTAAAATTTATTTTACACTTACATAGCTTTATATAATTTAATATTTATATTTTAAGTTTCTCTAAAGATAGCAAAGTTAAAACAAAAAATAAAATTAAAAAATTCTTTAAAATTCACAAAATGCAATATGTGTAAATAAAATTTAAATATTAAACTTTCAGAAGACACTTTTGTAAGTTTGTAGCATTTTATTTGTAAGCTCTTAAAACTTAAAATTTCAGAGACTTTTAGGATACCCTGTTTATTTTTCATGGAGATGATCAAAATGGCAAAAGTCTCTTTTATAAAGCAGAACTGTATCAAATTAAATCTAGTCTGGTGAGCTACTTTTTTTTTAATCATTCATTCAAAAAATGTTCACTTTGTCAGACATTATTGTAGTTGCTGCTAGACAGAGTTGTTTTTCATCTTTAAAAATTTAACTACAATTTACATTCAGTAAAATTCATCACTTTCGCAATACATTTTGGAATGTCCAGTTTTGACAGAGGTAAATAGTTGTGTGACTATCACCACAATCGATATAGAACAATTCCCTCAACCCCGGAAACCCTAATGCTCCTTGGTGATCAACCCCTCCTCCTAGCCCCAGCCCCTGGTAACCATTATCCCTACAGTTTTGCCTTTGCAAGAATGTGTATCAATGAAATCGGCATCTAGCCATTTAAGTCGGACTGCCTTCATTTAACATAATACACTTGAGATTCAGCCATGTTGTTGCATGTCTTAGTTATTCATTCCTTTTTATGGGTAGGTGGTAGTATTTTAATATCTGGACCAAACAGTTTGTTTATCCATTCCTCAGTTTAGGGATATCAGGTTGTTTCCCATTTTTGGCAATTACAAACAAAAATTCAAAAATAACTCACATGGAAGTTTGTGTGTGCACATAGGTTTTCATTTTTTTAGGAGAAAATACCTAGGAGTGTGATTGCTGGGTCATATAGAAAAACAAATGCTTAAATAGAAGGAGGAGGAGGAGGAGAAGGAGTAGGAAGAAAAACCTTGCCAAACTATTTTCCAAACTGGCTGAACAATTTTGTATTCCTATAAGCAGTGTGTGATAGTATACCAATTTTAAATAACTGGTTTGAAGTGATAAGGACTCTTTCTGAGTCACTAAAAACTTGAATCAAATATTTATAATAAAATTCAAGTATTACCTAACTATAAAGTTTTGTCATCTGGTAACAAAATAATTCCAATAATTTTAAAATAAAAATCAAAAGCAATACTGTAGAAAATAAGCCAAACCTAGAAAACAAAAAAGTAGAAAAAAATATGTATATTCTTTTATATTTATATAGTTACACATTGGAAATGATAAAGTTCAAACCGTTTGCCAAAAAATCAAAAAGCCAAAGAGAAGAGAAGCTGAAATCCTTCAGAGCCACTGATTTTATTAATCTTACATCTCAAGAAACGCCCGGTCACCTACATGTCAGAGATGCTACGGCTGCCTTGGGCATTCCAGGGCACTCCAAGAGAGAGGCTTCGTCTGCCAGTTTGGGCACAGTGCACTGTTCGTGACTGGGGAGCTCGGGGCCAAGGGAGGCTTCTGCCAAAGAAGTAAAATCTGTAGAAATGGCACTCAGACAACAGAGTTAAGGCAAGCAGAGACCAAGAAGCATTTCAGAAGAAATCAAATTCGTTAGCTCACAATTATTCATGCATTAAACAGGAAGATGTAAAAGAGAAAATGAGAAGCAGGTATCAAACAAAGTTTGAATAGTAGTCACACCTTTTTTCTAATACTTCAGAATCTTCTCATTTCACTTATATATTCGGTATAACTTTTAAAATCTTCCTTTTTGGAACAAACAGTATCATTGGTATAATTTGGGGTAAGAGTTAAGAAAAAGTCATTGCTAGTTACCTAATGGTAATGATTTTAATTACAGAGGAAAGGAGAATTCTTATCGTATAAGATGTGTTAAAATCCCAAATTCCTACGTATCACTTAAAGGTTAAAGACTCAGGAGCATTTTGGTGCTTCTGAGATTTTTGTGTATTTGTGGATATAAATTATAAAAATTAAGTAAGATTATATTAAGCAATTTCACACTTATCAAATTATCCCTATGCTAAAGTACTGGCATAGTAATGTTCTATTTTTGATCAGACATATCCATTTATATCTAACTTTAAATTAAATCTAAAGATTAAGAAATTTTATATTTTTTCTTATAATAGCTACTAAATAGCTATTATTAAAAATATTAGGAAACTATTAAATTGATTTATCTTATTATTACTGGAATTCCATTTATTGGGAGAGAATGCAAAATGAAACCATATAATAGAAAATATTTCATGATAAATTTTTACCATTAGTTTAGAATACTAGGTTTGTTACATTTATACCAATGACAGTTATGCAAAGAATGGTGCTTTATGACTTCATGTAAGTTTTCTTCTGAATATACAAAATGTGCCATTAGTCTTGGGAAAGAGATTAATAACTGGTAACTTGACATTGTATAAAAAAAACAAAACAAAACAAAAACCAGGAGACCTAGTAGAGAAAGTACTCAAGGTACCAGAATTAAAGGTTTGAGTTCTGCCAATTTCAGACTCCAAACCAACAGGGTAATTTTTTCATTTCACAATATAGAATTTGGAAAATATAATCAAGGCATCCAGCATCTCTTTCATATACAGAGCATTATAACTAGATTCATTCCTCAGCTGCCATACATGGTCTTTTTCAGTAGTTACATGTTGTGGATAAAGGCATCGTACCTGGGCTGGATAGCGCCTCTGGCAGGTTTGCTTCTAAAATACTGTCTGTATTAACTGCATGTACTGACTGCAGAGCTAGAAAAAAGAAGCAATATAACTTATAAACAAGTCACATTCATAAATGAAACAATCTCTTAGTAGCTTAGCTAATTATTTTTTATATATTTCAGCAAGAGATAACTCTAAACTTGTTAGAAGCCACTTTACTGTCCAGCTGATAAAACTAAAATCTACTTACAGCCACATTCCTACATGTACTACAATCCTAGAATGGCAGGATCTTTCTGAAAATATTCACAAATTGTCACATGCTCATATTAGAAAAATGGAACTGTATGATTTTTCATTTTATTTTGTCATGTTGCAGATTTTAAAAGCGGTTAAGTGAGGATAATCAGGGACTAAGTAGATGCTCATATTAGGATAATGGAACTGTACGATTTTTCATTTTATTTTGTCATGTGGCGGATTTCAAAAGTGTTAGAATAATCAGGGACTAAGTATTAAAATTAATTAAAAGCTTAAGTATCATTAACAAAAAGACATGATTTATAATCTATATAATTTCTACTATCTATATTAAAATACAATACAAATGTAATGTTAATGGCAAAAGTAACATTACCAGTCACGTGATTATTTTCATCATTTTGATGCTGGGGTGTTTTAGAGGGTGGAGAAGGTGCCTTTCGCTTTGTCCTTTTCAAAGACGAATTCCCAACGGATGTGCTACTGAGCTTCAGGGAGCCAGTCCTCACTACGCCTGCTCCACAGGAACTCTGTGGAAAACAAAACGTCCGAACGCAATCTCTTTTTAGAAATTAATAGCAACCTTTAGAAAGACACTGACCTTTATGTCAAACACATCATATGGCAATATGTAACATAAGAGTCATTCATTCACAAAACATTTATAGAGCATGTGCCATGTGCCAGAAGCTGATATATGAGACAGATATGTAAAGAAACATAAAATATAGTACTTCTTACGAAACTTAGGCTAAGATGGGAGATTGACATGCCAACAAATAATTATAATTTAGAGGAATCTTAAACAGTACAGTTAAAAAACTTTCAAAGAAAAATCTGGAGAAAATAGTGGATGTAAAGTAAGAGATAAAAAAGGGAAAACTATTTTTACATTAAGAGAGCTGGCTTGATTAATCTCTCACTTTTTAGCACTAATCTATCAATGACAAACAAGTCAAAAATCTATGTCTTCCCTAAAGGTCATTTGAGGTCCCCAACTCTATACACAGATCATGCTCACACTCATAGCATGTGACTGTCAGCAGACCTTTCCTGCCTCATCAGGTTGGCCAGTTCCTCTTGGCCCATTGCCATATCACCTTGCTCTTTCCTTTACAACAAATCTGCTTAAAAGAGTTATTCAGTTTTTGTCTCCAATTTTCCATTTCCCACTTGAGCCCTTCTAATCAGATGTATCCCAACCTTTGATGCATTAGAACTATATATATCAGTCATCAGTAACCTCCACCACAAATAAATCAGTGGTGACCTCATAGAAATCCTTTATTTGACATATTAGCAGCATTCAACTGAGTTGACCACTCTCTTAGAATCCTCTTTTTCTTACTCCCAGGATACTACATTCTTCGCTCTGCACATATCTGAACTCGTTTTGTTGGTTGCTTTTCATCTCCATCCTTAGACATGCATATACTCTTTAGTATCTACTCTCACTCTCTTGGTAACCTCCTCTGTTCCTTTGGTTTTATGTATCATTTATATGCTGATGAATTCCAAACTTATGACTCCATGCTGGGCCTCTATCTGATCTCCACTTAATGTATAAGGCCATTTCAAACTGGGCAGGTTTAAAACTGAGATCCTGATAACTCCTACTTTCCCCTGTCCCATCAAAAATTATCCTGTTCTATTTTGCTCACTGCTCTATCTCTAGAACAATGTCTGACTCATAGAAGTTTTTCGATAAATATTTGTTGAATGAATGAAATACTGCCTTCTTCGTTTGTTAAAAAAAAAAAATAGTCTCGATAAATTCGGACAGTCCATAAAGCTTGGGTCATTCCAATATTTACAAGGCAATGCAAGTACACCTAAGAGAAGTGAACTAGTTCATAAGATGTTTTTTGGTTTTTATACCTTGCTACACACTGAGAAAAGTGTAGCAAATTTTACTATTTTGTAATTTTGTAATATTTCTTCCAGAGGAAAAAAGAAGCCAGCTCCCAAAGAGAAAAATGTGAGTTAGTTGTCATCATTGCCAACTGTGTTAGGTACTAAAGAGGAAGGCAGGTCATCTCACAGGAGAAGCAGCACAGTCAGGTCCACAGTGGCAGGCACCTGATGGGATACACCTCTCAATAAGGTTAATTCCTCTTAATAATGAGGTGGGACAGGGTGGCTGCAGGCTGACCCTACTGGTAATCAAACCATTAAACTTCTTCCACACCAGTTGGAAAATAGCTGCAATCACTAACCTCCTCTCCTATTAGTCTGGTTTCTCCCCTAGAACTCTTCAGACATCTCCAAAATCCAGCAAGAAAAGAGTTACAGCCTGCCACCCAAACCCAGATTTTGATTCAGAATCACTAAAGCCAAATCTGATTAAATCGGAGGGTCATCCTTCCTCCCCAAGGGCATCAAATAGATCCTCGACTGCTATTTGCACTTTTGAATTAATTAGAAAAGGAGTCCTTGGTGATAAATTAGCTGAGAAAGAAATGTAGTAATGGGCAGACAGTATTTAAATATAATTTTGAGTAGAATATAAAGTTTAAATAAAACTTTACTGATATGTCTCTGTGTTCCAAAACTTTCACTTGCTATTTATAAAAGTAACAAATTTAGCCATCATTAAAGAGACCAAAAATTCTCCTAAAACAATGTGGCACTTCACTTTTAAAAATATCGATCTAAACATCAAAAGTAGTAGATATCATTTTCTTTCTTGATGAGTTTACTTCTGTAAAACTCTACTGAAGCATACCTCATTCCTATCATAGAACTAGTTTTAAGAACACAGAAGTGATCAATAAGTAATTGCTGAGTGCATGAAGTAATGGCAGCATTTGATTTTCCTCCGAGTTCCATGCTAAAAACTTGCTCCCCATGTTTTAACTGATTGTTTTCATGAAGTCTGTGATTAAAATCTGTTTTCCCCTTTAGGTCTGAATCCCAATCACTGTAATTTATTGGTCTGTACAATTACCTGATAAAAGCAGTCATAACATGAATTTTTCAGACAACAGTTTAGGAATTAGAGCTCTTAAATTTTGGTTATCATAAAGCAGGCAGCATAGATAATAAAAAAAAGGGAGACATTTGTATACAAAGACTCACAAATTTATATGAATCTATCCATAACTCAAAGAATAAAAATAGACTCACATATTTCATTTATCACCCTAGAGGTCTTAAAATACGCTTTTTTTTTTTTTACAGGATATTTATACTTCTATGGATAAAAAATTTTTTAATCTATCAAAAAACAGATTTCTGTTTTACAAATGCTAAAAAAATTTCAATAACATTTATGAAGACAGTTGACAAAATAATGCACGTTAGAAGGGAAAGGCATGAACATTTTGGCAAAGCACATTATAACTTTATTCTGTAAGATTTCTCCCCCTTACCAAGTTGTATGGGCACATTATGAAAGTAAATGGACGTATATTTGTAGAACTGCAAATGGTTCAAGGAGACTAAGAACAAAGACATTAGGGGAAGAGAACAGAATTGTCACTGAATGATGCCAGGTAGACTATGTGACCTGTCACAAGTAGATTCCAGGTTGTAATTAATGTTTAAAACTTATTAAGCTCATGACAAAAATGTAAATTTAATAATTGATGTAAGATAGGCCAAAGGCAAGAGTTCTCAAGAAATAAGAACGGTGACTTTAGATAATCAACAACAGATTAATTAATGACAGGAAATATCAGTTTGGTTCTCAGATAGGAGTGATATTAGTGTTAGTGTTCAAGGAAATAATACATATTTCTTGTCCCTTAAGAAGGAGAGGCAAGCACTTTTTTGTTTGTTTGTTTAAAGAGACTGTTAGAAAGAATTTCAATCAGCTAAGCAGCAGCCAAGGAAAGTTAAGGTAATAAAAATTAAACTTAGAGTTTTTTTTTATGTCAACTGAAAACATCACTATTAAGACCAAAATAAAGGAACCTCTGGGCCTTGAGGAAGAGATGTTCTATATCTGCTAAAAACATCTCTCTTTTGGGTAAAAGCCTGCAGGAAAAAGAAAAAAAAAAGCATTTAAGTCAGAAGATCTAGATGTTTCTAAATAGATTGTAGCCAAGAAAACTTGTGTGTACTGAGAGATATGAGTAGCATATACTTACCTAGCATACAATATTGAACAGGCTCCTAACCCAAGAATAACTACTGCTAGAAAACAGACTTAATAAACAACCACAGTTATTTTGGTAAATACATCATGAGTTCCCACATAAAATGTTTAAAAAAGAAAGAGAAAAGGAAAGGAAGGCCACCAATGCCTAACCGGCACCATTCTTTAACCCTTTTTTTCTGTGTACTACAGGGGTATCCTCCTAATGGCCTCCAAATAGTTCTACACTTGCATTAAGTAGTCAGGGTTGAGCTGCCCTGTATTTTTGAGTGTGAGCTTGTCTAACTGAAGAGAGCTTCCACAGGATTTACACATTGGAAGGCAACCCAGTGTGATAGTTACTAAACATATGAGCTTTGGAGACAATGCCAGGGTTTAAAACTAGGGAGAACAGCATTTATTGTCTTTGCGATCTTCAGCCTCCTCATCTATAATGTAGGAAAAGTAAAAGTACCTACCCCAAAAGAGGTTGGAATATTTAAGTGAAATGAGGTGTATAAACTTAGCACAGTGCCTAGCATACAGTCCATGCTCTGTAAATATTAGTTAATATTATTGAACATAATTTGTCTATTTTAAAGTATGTGAAAGTGATCTGTAAATAAAGTAAGCAAATGATAGCTATAATGTAGAGTTAGAGTAAAGAGTATGAACAAAAAGAGGTATTTATTTTAAAACTGTACTTTTTCTTCAGTGATGGTGGTAGTGGGAGTTCTATTAGAGTCAATCTCAGTTATAATCAACCTTAAAACACAACGAGCGTCCAACATTCAAGGAACCTGGATTTAGTCTACTGTGTAAGCATTGTATGTAAAAACTCTATCTTTAAGTCGCCTCAGGCAACTTTATCATACCTTTAAAAAAATCTAATAAAACCTAAATATTTAACAGCAGCTTGTTAACTCTTAGTGATAGGTATATGGATGTGTATTATAGTATATAAATTTGAAATATTTCATAAATTTAATGTGAACAACTAAAATAAAAGAACGAGTTAGAACTGTCTTTGGCTTTCAACATCGAGATATATTTCCTTTGGTCAATTTATGATCAAAATTTTTAAAAAAGGGTTGAGATTATTTTTAAGTCCAAAGGGTTTACAAAACAAGAAAACAGAGAGCTTTTTACTTACTAGAGGAAAACACTTTGGTTAATAATTAGAGATATCCAATTATTTACTTTGGTTAGAGTCACTAAGTCTGTTTGCCATTAGCAAAAACTGCACCTCTAACAGGAATGCATATCACTGAATTTTATGGTCTGTGAAAAGGAAAACACTGCACAGAGAAAAAGAATACACTAGTGAAAGTGGCAAGGTCAAGTTGAAAACCATGCCAGATAGTTAATCCCTGAGAATTATTACTCCGATCAGAATTCACTGGTTCAAAATGGAACTAAATTTAGCTAAAGAAAATAGAATTGAATGACATT